AAAAATACCATCCTACTTTCCCCCCCTAAGTTTCTAAAATATCACATACTTTCCTCAACATCTGCAGCCATCCAGGAATTTTTAGGAAACTTTTTGTGCATGATCTTAATTCCTAATCCCTGGCTCTTTGGGCTCAGTGACGAAAGATCAAAACCACCAAAAATGATGGTTCACTTGAAGTCAGACGAGAGACCCTGGCTCAATTAGTCTCATAGGATGAGAGCAGTGCTGCATCAACTGGCTCCATGCAGGAGGGGCACGTGAAGGATCTCATCAACCAGTCATCTATACAGTCCAGGTGATAGATGTGCATGCACGGCAGAAATCGAATTGGGTCCCCATAAACAAAGTCCATCATACAGATCACACACCTGTGGATGTGAGAATAAAGTATTTTTAGGTGAGTTGCCTACTCAGAACACTCTTTAAAATCCCATAACAAAGACAATGTTAATACATACAACACATCATTACCAAAGCATGCAAACTGAATACATCTACAGTGATGTATTCAATGTTGATAAATGTTGACACATTCATATTATCTTATTTTAATTTCCTGGGCCTTCATCACAATCAGCAGAGCAAAGAGAAAAAGATCTCAGAATCAGGTTCACTGATGTGCTTGTAAAACAGCTACATATTACAGGATACATCTGTGGAGAATGTGGCACTTTATGAAGGAAAGCATCAGTTAGATCAACTTTCCTTGTACTGAGTTTTTAGTAGAATGCTGGAGTAATATGATTTGCATTTTAATAACTACATATGAAAACAGAACCACTGATTTAATCCTACCTACTGGGCTGCTGTTTTAAACCTATCTTCATTAACCCAGTTTCAAGTTCACTACACTTTTCTGAGGTTCAAGAAAGCAAACCAATTCTACAGTGTTTTAGAAGTCACAGACTATAATGTAAGTACTAGAACTAAATGTTGCTATAGCTCAAACAGCCAAACATTAACTAACACAGTAAATTAGATTATGTCTGTGTTAGTGAAGCCTATCTCAATTTAAAAGGAGAATGAATGTCCTCAGATATCAATGATGAGCCCTGGGGATAAAAATTCTCAATAAGCAAAATTTTACCTMCAATATATTAAGCATAATGAATTTCACAAGAAATAAATTTCTCTCATATCACTATAAAGCCTTAACAATGTTAATGACTTCATGTTATTGATGGGAATCTTCCTAGGAATATTGTTTAAAAAGGTACATAACCCTTTCTCAGAGGTTATCAGTCCTTGTAATACTGCCAAACTACTTTCCAAAAACCTGTTGAGAGGCCACTAGCAATGTTCACTTTCATATAGATGAATTACCTACCATCAAAGTCATTCAAATAGACAGCAGCATATAATGGTCTGAATCCACATGATTTCTTGGCTTTTTGTTTTTTTTACCAAATTCTTCCTTATTGTTACTCTGAACCTCTTATTGCATTAATTGAGGTGTTCTAAAATCATAAATATCACAGACTTCCAAAGTACATGAGAAAACGCAAATTTTCAAAAAGTTAATCTCAGAAAACAGACCTCTGAAATGTGTTTATTAATTAAAACTTACTCCCGGATCTTTTTTTCGGATCCATCTCTTCCAGGGTCATAAACTCCTTTAGGCAGATGCTGTATAAGGCCTATTCTTTGAGCTATCCTAATTTGTTCTTCTTCAGTCAGCTGAGTTGCTAGCCGAGTCTGGCTAGGTGTTGGATGATAAACTGGAACTGGAACTTGTTCCTAAATATTAAAAAAGGAATTAAAGATTAAAAACCTTATTTTATTACAGTCTGTTTTCTTTGGTTTTGTGTGGTTTGGGAGAAGGGGGCACCCAGCTCTGCCTTAACTTTAGCTTCTACAATAAAACAAAACAAAAAATTCATGTTTAGCTATCAGACCTAGTTGATTTTTTTTTTAGTTGTAGTTGGACACAATAACTATTTTAATTATTTTTATGTGGTGCTGAGGATCAAACTCAGGGCCTCACATGTGCTAGGCAAGCACTCTACCGCTGAGCCACAACCCCAGCCCTCAGACGTAGTTTTAAAGGAAACAAACATTAGCCTTACTGAAAACCTAGCATAAAATTAATGTTATTTTTCCATGAAGTCCAATATATCAAGATATATTCATTTCTGATATACYAATAGATAATATAAACAGACCTGCCATGTAATCAAGCAGTGGAACTGAGTCACATTCTGTATGCTGCAACGGAGTTGTGGTCACAGTATTAACAATATGTGTGTCTGGCCATCCCAGACTTATTTTTTCTTTTCTTTCCACAGATAAAATAACCTTAAAATGCATCTACTATTTGAAAGACTGGGTATTGTTGCAATAAAATCTGCAAAATTCACTGTGCAGTCAAAAAGTGTGATCCTTTTTCAGACTGGAGGAGTTCCTAGAAAGGGGGACCTCAACTCAGGACAAGTGAGGTCCTTGTTATAAGTGACTTTCAGTAGGCACAAGGCAGAGGCACATATTTAGGAAAGTAGATAAACATTCAGAGGAGAATGTGGGCTCTCAAGAGAGAGATGTCTTTTGGATAAGGTAACAGGCATTCAAAGGAGAATGCTGGCCATTTAAACAGTCAAAGGAGAATACAAGCCATCTTGAGTGAGAAGTTTTCGGAGTAAATCAAGGAACACACATTCAAGGAAAAAGTGTGGGCTACCTCCAGAAGGAAATCAGCCATTCTTTGTGGTATGTTAATATTTACAGAGGGTCAGGTGCTAGGGACTGGATTAGAGGTTGAATCAGTAAGGAGTTACGTAATTTCCCATCAGTTTTCCTTGCACATGTATTGCCTGCATCATTTTAATGTGTGTGTGTTTGTGTGTGTGTGTCTGTGCGCACATGCATGTTACCCAGGGGTGTTTTACTACTCGGCTACATCCGAAGCACAATTTTTTTCCAGACAGTCTTCCTAAACTGCCCAGGCTGGCCTCAAACTTGCAATCCTCCTTCCTCAGCCTCCTGAGTCAATGGGATTACTGGCTTGCACTACCACACCCAGCTGCATTGTTACTTTTGTAAGCAAGGGCATGGGCTAAGGAYGTACCTCAGTGAATGTTGATCAAGAAAATGTGTTATGATTGTTTTTATTTCCAGTATTTTTATTTCCAGTATTCCAGGATTTCATGGACATTTTCCCCAAGAAAGTATATCTTTCTGTCTTCCCATTTCCTATTTCATCTTTAGATATTAAATCATAAATATGGTGTGGGCACCCTGTTCTTAATCATATTAAAGACTAGCCAAATCTAGCAGAAAAATTCCATAGTGTAGATTCAAAAAGAATGTCTATTCTGTCACCTACGTGCTATATATGTTATTTAATGTCTCTGAGCCTCAGTCTCTCCATCTTTAAAATACTAGGGTCACTATAAGAATCCAACGGTGTGGTGTTTTGTTTTTCTTTGTTACTGGGTATTCAATCCAGAATTGCTTTACCACTGAGCTACATTTCCTGTCTTTACTACAGGTGTGTAGTACAGGTGTGGCGCAGCACACACCTATAATCCCACCGGCTGGGGAGGCTGAGACATTTGAGGATCACAAGTTCAAAGCCAGCCTTAGGAAAAGCGAGGTGCTAAGCAACTCAGTGAGATCCAGTCTCTAAATAAAACACAAGAAAGGGCTAGAGATGAGGCTCAGGGCCCCTGAGCTCAATCCTTAGTTAAAAAAAAAGGGGGGTGGTGGTGGGATGCTCTTGTCAATCCCCATTAGCTCAAAAATAAAGATTGGGGGATGATTCTTCCTATTTCATAACTGATAGTTCACTGTGTCCAAACTCTTTATGTAAACTACGATTTTTGCCGAAAATCTGATTTCCTTCTGATTCTGGAATATGGTATATGCTAGGCAAGTGTCTATTTTAATTCCTTGGGTATGAATCACCAATGAGCTTCGCTAGATGACAACCCTTCAAGCTGATRCTTGATTTCTTCTGAACTTTGCCCTATGCACATTTCCCCTTTACTGATTTTGCTTTGTATTCTTTTGCTATAAAGCTGTGAGTAGGATTACATGCTGATTTTTGAGTCTTATCAAGCCTGAAAACTGTCTTAAGGATTCCCAATGCCAATGACTATGATTTGTTCCTACTTCATTTCCATGGCTACTGTCATTGCCAGCTAAAAACAAATGAAAACTAAAAATTTTGAATAGAATATACTCCAGGGCCTAAGTATAGAGCTGATGATAAAAGGTATAAAAACATATAATAATGTTCAAATAATGTTCACAGTGATAGCAATGGTGCCTGCATTGATGCCCATGTTTTCAAATGGTAGTATTAGATATGCCCCCTTGCAAAAGCAAAATACAAACAAAATCCCAGCATGCTTTGAATTCTCTTTTTCTTTGCAGTTCTGGGGTTTGAACCCAGTACCTCAAACATGCTACGCAAGTGTTCCATCACTGAGCTATACCATCAGCCTTCACATACTTTGACAACAGTGGTGATCCAGCATCAACTTTTCTCAAAGTTAATTTAAAAGGAATAATATTGAACATTTATTATTTAGTGTAAGGAAAAAGTACTTTCAAGAGAATCCATTAGCTATCTGCCTTTATCTTGAGGGGGTAGAGGGTGTTAAATAAGATCCTATGTGCATCCTTTTTTAATCCTGTCATGGTCTTCACCTAACACTATGGCCTTATTGACAGGTATGATTCATAAATTTATTCATTTCTAGGACTGGGGATATAGCTCAGTTGGTAGAGTGCTTGCCTCACATGCACAAGGACCTGGTTCAACCCCCACAGCCCCCACCCGCCCCCAGCAAATTACATTTCAAATCTAGATCTCCCTTTTAAACTCTAGGTTCTACCTGACAGTTCCAATCCAATGACTCAAGGGTACCTCAAACTCAACATGTCCATAAACAAATTCCCCTTCAAAAATCTGATCCTCTTTTAAGCTTCTCTCAGTAAATGGCATGATCCTGTCTTTCTATTTTTGTAAGATAAAGACATCCTTGACACCTCCTCCTTCTTCCTCACCCTCTCATATTAAATATGTCATCAGGTTGTGGTGAACTTCTTTTCTACATAAATAGACAATCTGTTATTTTCTTTCCATTTCTATTGCCAACATAGACAAGTTGCCTAGTGTAAGCTCTCATTTCTTCCCTAGTATGCAGTATTAGCTAGCAAACCCTCAATTTGTTTTCTATATAGCAGTTAGAGCAATTTTTTGGGGGGGGAGGGGTACTGGGGATTGAACTCAGGGGTACTCAACCACTTAGTCACATCCCCAGCCCTATTTTATTTAGAGACAGGGTCTCACTGAATTACTTAGTGCCTAGCTTTTGCTAAGGCTGACTCTGAACTCATGATCCTCCTGCCTTAGCAGGAGGCACTAGGATGCACTGTGCACTGGGTAGAGTAATTCTTTAAGCCTGCATTCAAATCATTGCTTTTTAGTCTTACTGGCTTTCTCTCAGATTCTTGAAAGAGACACTGTCTCATCAGAATGGCAATCAATAATACAAGCAACAATGAATGCTGCCAAAGATGGGGGGGGCGAGGTACACTCATACATTGCTGGAGGGACTGCAAATTAGTACAACCACTATGGAAAGCAGATGGTAAAAAACACCATTTTGAATAGCAATCATCAAGAATGTAAGTAACAATAAATGTTGCAAGTATATGGGGAAAGTGTACACTCATACATTGTTGGGACTGCAACTAGAGCACTGGAAAGCAATATGGAAATTCCTAAGAAAACTTGGAATGGAAACACCACTTGACCCAGTCATCCCATTCCTAGGTTTATACCCAAAGGACTCAAATCAACATACTACAGTGACATCAATGTTTACAGCAGCTCAATTCACAGTAACTAAACTACGGAACCCACCTGGGCGCCCCTCAACACATTAATTCACAATAAGAGAGTGTGTGTGTGTGTGTGTGTGTGTGTGAGAGAGAGAGAGAGAGAGAGAGAGAGAGAGGTGTGTGTGTGTGTGTGAGAGAGAGAGAGAGAGAGAGAGAAAGGGGAGAAAGAGGTATTTTGGACTAGACAGCGGGGAGTGAAGGGAAGGGAGGGGGCATGGGGTTAGGAATGAAAGTAGAATGAATCAGATATTATTCCCCTATGTACATATATGTTTACATGACCTGTAACTCTACATCATGTATAACCAGACAAATGAGAAGTTATATTCCAATTATGTATGATGTGTCAAAATGCACTGTACTGTCATGTATATATTTAAAAAGCTAGAAAACAAAAATAAAAACCAGAAACAATATAACCAGTCTGCTCTGTATGCTGACATACAACCCCTTCCCCAAATATGAACACTTAAGTGGCTCAAGCGGTAGCTCGCTCGCCTGGCATCGATCCTCAGCACCACATACAAAAGCAAAGATGTTGTGTCCGCCAAATACTAAAACATAAACATTAAAATTCTCTCTCTCCCCCCTCCTCACTCTTTTTTTTTTAAAGTACCAAATTGTTAATATAAACATTGGCCTTCAAGAGAGTATTTGATTAAAGCAGAGAACACCAGTTAGAAAAAGGCCAAAAAGTACCTGGGAATTGGCAATTCTTAAATGAAAGCTCCTTGGATTTATATTACAGCAAGAATAATCATCTCTTTGGCTATGAATACAAACCATCACTGTTTGGGCTAAAAAAGCAATTTAACTGTGATTCCCTTCCCTAACCCATACTAGAGATTGAACCCAGGGCACTCTATACCAATGAGCTATATATATCCTGC